TGTAGCCCCTTTGGGTACTGGAAGGTCTCCCAAGAGCCTTCTCTCCAGGCTGAACAGCCCCACCTCTCTCAACCTGTCTTCATAGGAGAGGTGCTCCAGATCATTACATGCATGTTTCTTTTAGGTAAAGGGATAAATAAATAAACGTCAGCATTATAGAGCAGATTGAGCAGAAAAACCTTCCCTTCTCCACAGAACTTGATGAGCACTGGTGGTGCAAGTATCCTCTGATGTCTGGGAGTCTGGTCTCCCTTTGGGTGGGCCATCCTCCAGTGACAGAGGAAAGTGGTTAGGTGGTTTTACCCTCCATCTCTGGATAAGGCTGTGAACCTGTGTTAGGGGCTTTCCTTTTATCACCTGATAATTAGAATGGATTTGAGAACAGGATCTTTTTTTCCACATTCTTTGACAGGTTATTGAGAAACAGGTAGTTGTGTGGCCGCTTATCTTAGAGGTATTTAATTCTGTACACTACAGGAAAAGCTTTACGTTGTAGTATTTATCATTTCAGCTTATACTTTGCTTCCCTTCAGAGATGGCACACTAAAAATAGCATGTTGCTTTTCTTGTTGTAGTCATGTTTTTCTGGTTTGCAAGTACCTAACCCCTCATTCCTAAAGGATTATAATTTACTAATTCTGCTACTCAAAAAACGTGTTATTATTTAATTATGGATTATTTATTTTTTTTAATTGACTGAAAAAGTTTACGTACAATGGAAAGCAGACATTAGGTGGCTGAACTTACATACTGCATCTGTAGAGCTTGCTTTGGAGTTTTCTTCATGTTTGAAAAGTGGATTTTTTTTTAAAAAAAGATACTTTTCTGACTAGTAATGTTGCCCATGAGCTCTCCATTCTGTAGAAGGGGAATGGAGCTAAGCAGCATAAATGCAATGGTTCTGATGAGGTACCACTGGAATGAAGTAAATTGAGTTATTACTACCCACTACTACTGTACAACTTTTAACATTTCCACCATGATGACTTTAGTATTTTAAAGGAAAAAGATAAAGTAGTTATCTTGTTAAAGATGATATAAAAATCTGTTTGAAAAGGGGGCTTAATTCCTGGTAGTTAGCTAAGCAGTTAATTTTTTTTTACAGGAAATCTAAATTTAATAGAAAACCCCAGGGAAATTCAAGGGTGTGAACAATAAGCATAATATTTTATGAAAATGACCCCCATATTTAAAATCTGGCATTATATGTTATGCATTGTAGCACCAAGTCCACATCTACCTTTTAGAAAATTAAAACACATAAATTCTGTTTAGTGTTTGATATGCACTGCACTAGCTGAAAGCCATAATGCCCCTAAAACCTTGGGTTGCTTTTCACCTTTCATAAATTCCTGGGTAGATTCTATACAAAAAATAATTTTCAGCTCCGTGGCTCATTGTTATTCAAACTTGATTGATCGTCGTCATTTACTCAGTGAGGAAGTTAAGTGCTCCTGTCATTTCCAAAGAGTATAATTGGGACGTTTCACAGGTCAGTGGTAGTGACAGGTTTCCCTTTTGATTAGTGTTAGACTGATAACAAAAATTACAGTTTCCTATGATTAATGTTTTCTATAGTACTTGAATGCACAGTTCATGGATTGTACCTAAACAAAGTGAATTTGCATCTGATTATGCCTTTTCTCCATCAGGCTTTTCGTGTGCCTTAAAGTTTTACACCATGCAGGTAATTCAGCAAAGTTGCTTCTAGTGCAGTTTTCAAGTTGGAGATTAGTGAAGCCCACTTAATTTTGGTATATTAGTGTACAGAGAGCTAGGGACTTTCAGCGGGATGTGGATAAATGAGGAGAAATTTCAATTAAAGATAGAACTCTTCTGAGTTCTCTGTAGTCCTCTCAGATAGGCCCTGCACGTGAGTACTTGTATTATACCTGCTGATATTTTTCAGTATAATCTGGCAATTTAGGTTAAATGATCAGTCTGAACTGAGTTTTCCTCCTCTTACTAGTTTGACATTATTTTTCAGTTCCTTAAACCTGTTGCTGTTTATTTGCTTACAAACTGCTTCTGGATATAGACTATGGAAATACATTGAATTTACTTTCCCTCTTTATAGGGTGAAAATTAGTCAGCTTTTACATGATAGCACAAAGTTGCAGACCCAGATAATCCATAACAAGTTTTAGCTTGGTGTTATCTTTTTTTAATAGCTAAAAGAGGAATGGAACCTGACTACAGAACATACAGTGTTACCCTGATTCAAGCTAGAGAACTAAGAGTGGATGTTCTTTCCAAACTTAATTTTGCCCCTACCAGATACAAAAGGGATGACACCACCAGCAGAATTTTGAAATAAAAACAAGCTGAGTTCTCTTCAATCTCTAGCCCTCTTCTGGTGTGCAGAGTGCAAAACCTGATGATGTTTTCCTTTCTGAAGGCCACTGGGAAGGTCTTTGAAAAGCTGCAGTTTAACACAGATGTTCTTCTTTCATGTCTAGTGCCTTTGTGCGTTTGCGTTTAGTGGTAGAATATTTGACCCTTTCTTTGCATTACAACTCTGTTTGGGTTTCTTCTGCTAAGGTAAGGTTCTGTGTGTGTCAGTCTTGGCCATGTAGGGCCAGGTAGGGCCCCCAGCTGGGGCCTGAATTGGGTCTCTCTTTCAGATGAGGAAGAATCATGGAATAGTCAGAGTTGGAAAGGACCTCTAGAGCTCATCTAATCCAACTCCACTACTGAAGCAGGATCCCTTAGAGCACGTTACTCAGAGCTGCATCCAGGCGAGTCTTGAATATCTTCAGAGAAAGAGATTCCACGACCTCCCTGGGCAGCCTGTTCCAGTGCTTTGTCACACTCACTGTAAAGAAGTTCCTTCTCATTTTAATGGAACTCTCTATGTTCCAGCTTGTGCCAGTTGTCCCTTCTCCAGTCACTGGGAACCGCTGAACAAAGTCTGTCTCCATCCTCCCTTCACCCACCCTTTAGATACTTGTAGGCATTAATAAGGTCTCCCCTCAGCCTTCTCTTCTCCAGCTAAAGAGTCCCAGCTCTCTCAGCCTTTCCTCATCAGGGAGAAGCTCCAATCCGCCCATCATCTTTGTTGCCCTCCACTGGACTCTCTAGTAGTTCCCTGTGTCTTTTGAACTGGGGAGCCCAGAACTGGACACAGTATTCCAGATGTGACCTCACCAGGGCAGAATAGAGGGGGAATTGCAGTGGGAAACAAGAAGCAAACTCTGGTGCAGGATATTCCAGCATAGCCTGCAGGTTGGCAGCTCTGGAAGTAGCAGTTATGGGGCTGAAGAAACAAAGTTGTGGTTGTTACTGGTCTTTCTCAGCAGGGTACTTTCAAACATGGTTATGCTGAGGCTTTATTTTTAAATAAAGACTAATCAGTTATTCTCTGGTAAGAATGCAGTTGTAAATCTACTTTGTTCTTCAGGACAGTAAATACTTTATTTTATTTGTCCTACAGGAATTGCAGCTTTCTTAAAGTATTTTTTTTTAAAAAGGGAAGAATTGTTCTAACTTGCACCACTGGTTCTTTATATGTTGAAGTGTATCAATATGGGTATTAATATAAAATAGTTCTTAACTAGAAATTAGTTCAGCCCAACACAGAAGTAGTCAAGAAATGCTAATTTTAAAAAAATTATTATTTGTTTAACATTTATAACTACATTCAATAAACCAAGATTGGTTTCTAGGTTTTTTGGTTTCAGAGTACATGTGTGATTTAAAGGAAGTCAGCTGTGCAGCTGTGACACACGATTAGAGGAGTGAATTAAATTGGGAAAATTCTGCTGCAGGCAAAACCTGCAGTATCCTCCAGTGCCTGTTACAGTGAGTAGCTGATATGAATATCAACCTAAGTCAGGTGCAGTAGGAGAAGTAAAGATTGTGTCTGAAAATAGTAAGAAGGATTCCATCCCTTATCTAGTGCATTGGCTTGCTGCAGTGAAGTTGAGAAAAAGTGATAGCCTGTGGTAAGGCTGGTTTTAGTGGATACCCCTATTATTTCCTAGACTTGTAAAAGTGCATGGCTAACATGCAGTAATGTGCTAATTATGTTGTTGTGAAGAATTGGGTGACTCCCCAGGTGGGCAAACAGAGCCGAAAACCTCCATCATCGATGCCTTTTTAGGGCACCAGATGTGGCCATTTTAATGTTCTGATAGTACAGGCCATGTCTGAGGTGGCACAGATTCTCCTACCTTATATGTACTATAGAAGAAAAATTCATTTTCAGGTGTGGAACAAACTTAGAAAAAAATGTAGAGACTTGCTGGCACCTATGCTATAGTAGCTAGCTGAAATGATATTGAGGAAGCCACTTATATGAATGAATTACCCTGGTTAGTTGGTAGGAACTCCATTTTTATTTTTCAGCAATCATAGATATTCAGTTTCAGGCTGCCATATAGACCAAGTGCTCATTTTAAAAATCCCATTTTGTTGGTCTTCACCATAGTAATGTCATCAGTCTAATGGTATGAATGGTTCAGATGTACCAAATTAATTAAGAAATGAATGCATCAGGTTTGGGGTTTTTTTAAATGCTGTTGTGAAGAAACACAGTGAACACTATAGCATAGAGACCTGAGTATTCCTGCTTTGGTCAGTATTATCTTGCCAGTCCACCAGCTTTCTCTTTGGCTTGTCTGCTCTGGTTTTGAGCTCTTAACCCATTTCTGATTCTATTTAACATGCCACAGACTATTTGGGCAAAGTTAAATGACTAAAAGATTTTTTTGGCCTTATTTTATAGCTTCACACGTTCTCAGACTTCACCAAATTCATGTGTTCTAATGGATAAAAGAGGCTTTAAAGAAGCCCTTAGGATAGAGTATGGCTTTAGAGATAAAATGTCAAGCAAAGGCCTAATCTTAGATAAAGGTTAAATACATAATGAGGGAAATACTTTTGACATAGAGCAGTCTCAGCAGGGCTGTCAAGATGACTGAGAAATATTTTCAGTGCGAAGGGAAATTAAAAGCAGTCTTCACTTTTTTTAAAAAAAAACAACAAAATTCTCTCTGTAGATGAAAGCCTCAGATGACGATGACGATGAGGAGGATGAAGATGAATTTGTGGAGGTCCCTGAGAAGGAAGGTTATGAGCCCCACATTCCAGACCACCTGCGTAAGGAATATGGTGAGTTTGCCCAGCTGTGACAAGCTTTATCCCTGCATGTTACTGCTGCACTAAAGTAAATAAACAGCTATTCTGAAGTAATAAAGTGATCAGTGGTGTGGGTAATCTCTGACTGCTATGAGGAAGTCATTACATGGATATGGGAACAGCCATTGGCTCTAAATAAACAAATACTTTCTAGGAGCAAAAGCAACTGAGATGAGGAGCTTATTTCATTCCATCATGTTCCACTGTAGTTTAGAGCCAGAAACAGCACCATGTTTGCTTGTAAGGGTGCTAAACATATACTGGGAGTGAAGGGATTGCAAAGTAAAGCTGTGAATGAGCCTGAATACTAGAAATATTGGTAACAGTCTGGTGAGATGGGATAAGATTTTGTGCTGTCACCTGCATTAATAGCAGTTGGAGATGTGCAGCCACTTCCTCACATAGAGTGGCCAACTTACAGCTCAGAAGGGCTTTTTTTTTTTTTTGTTTGGGTGTTGCTATCACAAGATGTTAAACAGAGCTCAGCATTCAGGTGCAGAATAACAGCTACTGGGCACCTACCAGGTGACAAAATACAATCTGGGTCTTGCTTCTTTTAATGTATTCTAAAGCCTTTTTTTAAAATACATCTACGCTTGTAATGTGGTTTTGTGAAATTGAAGGGGGAGTTACTGAGAAAAGATAAGTAATTAAATTTATGTCAGTTTCTTCTTGTCCATTGTACATGTAGCGTATTGAGTGTGTGGAGCTTTGCCTCGGTGTAGCATTGTGGGTTTTAAGATGCAGATTTCAGTTCATTGTAGAGAAGGAGAGGGTAGCTGCCATCACATAGAAGTTAAAAACCTTGGACACTTATAGTAAGTTTCTTGTTTCTGCATTTCTCCATAACTATTTGTGTGAGACTGGTGCTATGTTGAGCCTTTTTCAGTCCTGTTTATGCTTATTTTAAACTTACCTGCCATTCCCATCATAGCTGCAGCTATTACCTGTATAGACCAGCGTTTCTTTTGCTGAACCAAGGGGGTGTGCTGGTGTAAACCCAAGATGATGTAGCCCCAGTGATCTTTTTACTGTCTTCTGCCATCACCTTTGGCTACAGACAGTGAAAGATCATCAGTAATGATAACTTGTAAGTGGCTGGAGTCAGCTCAAGGATATCTCCAGGTGTGAAGTCTTCCTAGTGCCTCAGTCCATCTACCCCTCCTAGACTTAAACTAGGATTCCCTAGATTCCCTGGGAAGCAAGGCCTGTGTTGATTATCTGTGTTCCCCACCTAAGGACTTGCAGCAAGTCCCACTGGCTGTTTCTATTTTGTTTGCAGAGGGTAGATGTCTCTGTTTCTTCATGCCTTTAAAAAATGGAAATGACCAACTATTTAGACAACTGAGATTAGACTAGTGCCCTGGTAGCTTTTGTGTTGCTTGAAACAGTCTGTAGGCATTGACTTTGTCCAACCAAGAGCTAGGGAAGGTGAAATGGAACTGGGAGTATTGAGATCATGAAATGGGAAGTGGTTGTGTGTGTTAGACAAGAACAGACAACAGTGGTGAAGGGCTGCAGGGGACAAACTCAGGAACTGGGGATGTTTTTATTTTTCTATTAATGAAAAAAAGTGTTTTATTTAGGTAAAATTATACCAGTATATGTTACCTATATGTTACCAACTGCCTCAGTCTTGCAATAAATATGGAATAAATTCTAATTATTGCTAACAGTAGGGTTTTCAAAACAGGAATATAATGGAAGAGAGGGATAGCAGCCTTCCAGATAGTTGTGAATAGCTTCTTATGTGGCTAATGGAAGAGTCCAAAAACATTGGTAGTGACAGTGAAAGAGCAAATGAGATTAGCTGTTACCATAGCTATGGTTCTTTCCTGGTCTTTTTCCTTACTTTGGCAGTATTCCTTTTGCCAAAACTGGCATTTTCTTAATACTTCCAGGCTCTGGAATTTGTTTTTCATATTTTTAATCAGCAGTCTGATGAACCCTAACATGCAGAAGTTTTGTTTATACTTGTCAGATTCTGCTAGAAGTGAAATGTCCTCATCTCTTCTCTCTCTTCTCTCCCTTTCCTCTGCTGTCTTCCTCATGGACACACTTTTAAAAAATAAGGCATCTTCCTGCCCTTTATATCACAGTGACACAATACATCACTGATCTTTGAAATCCTCCTCATGGAAAAGGGTAAAAGAACAAGCCTACTATCTGCTCAAGAATATTTAAAAAATCTGTATAAAATGAAATAAGAATTTCCCTATTTGTGTTTAAACTAATGCTGATGGCTTCCTCACTGCAATATATTTTCCTATCAATCAGAAAGCAAAACCTCTCACTTTGTATCTCTGTAGTTGCACAGGACCTAATGGTGACACTTGGCTGTTCTTTTATCTGACGTGTTTGTTAAAAATAGCATTTTGAAAGAAATTTTTCATTCTTGTTGTTCCTGAAGTCATTCAGCTTTTTTTTTGCTGCTGTTTAAAGTTATGATGTAAGCTTCCAGGTCAGGGAATAGTCTAAAAAGAATTAATTAAAAGAATTCAGGCAATAAAAGAATTCAGGCAGTCTTTTAAGCACATGCTTAAACTCTTTGTGCACTTAAGTGCTTTCTTGGACCAACTAATCAGTTACTAGTTCAAAATTTAATTCAGAAGCTGATATGTATCTATTGCATAAATCAACTGACTGTGTAACTACTTCAGATCTGCATGTGGAAAATGGAAAACTGTGTTTCCTCTACTGGATTCTGTTCTGCTTGTGTTTTCAATAAGAAAAAGCAAACTAAGTATCCCTTTGGCACATTTTGTTTTGAAAAGTGAATTGTTGTATTAAAATACAGAAGAATGTATAGATTTCATAGGAGCAGGTTATCATCACAAACTGTGATAATGCTGGGTTAGGCAGCTGCCTCTCTAATTAGTGTGGTTCTTTGTTCCATGTGAAAGTGCAGTTATCTTAGCAGTGACTTTAGCTGCTTTAGTCCTGTTGGGGTTTTGCTACATTTCTTAAGTTCATAAGGACTCTGAGCTGAGAAAATGAAACTCTGTGCAAGTGGAATGTTCCAACTAGAAGATTAAAGATTCTGTGTATAAGAAAATCTCAGTGTTATGTAGAAAGTGTGAGCAGTTGAAAGCTTGTTTTCCTTGTGTTGTTACTTTACCTGAACGAACCAGAAAAACTAAACAGCTCCTGAGATTAACTTTCTACTAAGCAGGGAAACAAAGTTGTAAAGCATGACTCTGGAAATGGATTGAAATGTGACATTTAAATTCTTGATTTAAGAGTCACTTTGTTCCCTTTCGCTTATCCTAGGAAAACGGAAGTACCTAACAGGGTAAATTTCAAGCTGAGATTCTCTTTCTGATGGTGCATACATGTATTTGTGGTTCTCCTGAGATCTGAAAAGTTCTTGAAAAATTAAGACATTTAGAGACAGGGAAAGTTTTGCATGCATAAGTACATGAACATGTGCAGTTGTATTAGCTGTGCATGTATGTAATTGATGATGGTGATATCAAAATTGATGGTGACATTTAATGTACAAGATAACTGAGCATGGGTACAGTTAGGGTGGAGGGAGAATTGAACAAGTCAATTTGAATCTCCATGTGTAAGATGAAATGTAAATTTGTTAAAAGAATTTAGGTGATTAGATAACTGAAGTGTGAAGATATAACCCATTAGGGGTGTCATGCCAAATTAGCATTACCAGACTTTTAACGACCTCCCATTTGTATAATCCTTATTTACACTTGCACCTGCTGTCTGCAACAGACAAGAGATCAGCCATCCTGTGGTACCACAGAGCCATTTTAAATACTTTTTGTTTGTAAAGAGGAATATAGGACTGATAAAGAAACAGTGCTGTGAAAATAATTTTCATCAGGTCTCTGTTCTTAGCACTCAGTACACATGTTACTCATATCCATTGAAGAGTAACCTGCCCTTGTATGGCTAGTGTAGCTAACCTCTTACAATGTGAGGTTTTACTCACCTAAAAGAAAGCTTTAAGGAGGGAGAACATCTTGTCTCCACTTGAGATGTCTCACATTCCACCCTTTGCTTTTCAGCTGTGGGTTGCATTGGCTTAAAGCCTTCAGGTGGATAAGGGAAAGGATGGAACTGTGCAGCTTCTGAAGTCGTTCTTCTGCCATAGACAGAATTTGGTGCTGACACCAGGATATGAGATTCTTTCCTCCCTTGGTGGTGTTAACACAGCTTGCAGCTGAGCTCTACACTGAACAGGGAAGTGATCCATTTTGAGAGATGTGCTTTTCCCCGTAAAAATTGAATAGTTCTCGGATCTGTTTCAGAGCACCCACCTCAGCTAGTTCTCTGCTAGTGAGCTTTCTCAGTTCATAGTTCTTGTCTGTGTCTCAGTGTATGTATTCATGAACTTCTTTAAACAATACTACTGTGAGGTGCAGGGAACTGCTGTTTCCATTTTACAAGCAGTGAATATTATTGGGAATCTTGGGAATATTATTGTGGAAGCAGTCTTCTGGTTATCAAGTTTCATCCTTATCCAAATGTATATGAGAAATGGCTGTCAAGGACACAAACCATTATTTCAAATCTGGTTAATCAGATTGTTTCTCTTGTCTTTGAGCCTTAAACCAGAATGTTTTTAGGTCCCTGGTAGCTACTTCGGTTGTTCACATTGCATCTTAAACTCTACTTGGAATTTCTTTCATATCAGGATCAAAGCAGGGCAAGGTTAAAATCCCGAAGGTTAATTCTATCCATTTCAGAAACTCTCTCCTCTTCCCATCACAGAGGGATGTGCCTTTATGGGTTAGATATCCTCACATTGCCTCCCTTAATCTGATGGTATCTGGGTCATGCCTCTTCTCTGTGTTAAGTAGTTGATTGGGTTTATTTTAGTATGAAATATCATATCAACATGGAAAAGAAGGCTTATATCCCAATTGAATAAATAAAGTGTACAAAACCAGATTATTTCCTTAGTAGAAAAGTTGTCACCTGTTTTCTACATAGAACTAGGAGTGCTTCAG